GAAGTGTGAAAGACAGTTTAAACCACAAAAGATCTTAAAATTATGTACATCAGCAGAGGCAGATATACGTCTAAAACAAAATAAGCTTATAAAAATGAGTTCTATAATACTCAACTACAGTAGGTCTTTACAATGAGCACTTCCAATTAATAGGAAATATAGATCATTTATCAGGAAGATTTTCCCAATATATTTACATTTCCAAGTATTGTTCTCTTTTTGGTCAGTACAAAGTAAAACAATTTTTAGTTTAACTGAAAGTGTTCCTGATGTAAGAATGTGTGTCTGAAATTATTTAAAATTATACTATGAGCTCAAGCAGGGTGGTGGTGGTAGTCTTTTAAAACTTAAAATACAATACACTGTTTGAGTTATATTGTTAAACTAAACTGTCAGTATCAGGTACTTCGATATAATATGGTCGGAATAGGTGCAAGACAAAAACAATTGCATGTTAAGTATACTTTCGAGATAGGGTAGCAGCTGTACTTATTAAGAATGGGTTCAACTTTTTACTTAAAGCAAGGATTCAACCTCTTTGTTTTGTATGAAAAATATAGTGTAATTTACAGCTCAATCCATGAGTATGGCTACGCAGGTGGTGTCGGAGAGAAGGCTTTGGATTCTTTGACCATGGGATGGTGTTCCATGAAGGAGGAGTGCTGGGCAGAGATGGGCTCCATCTTACGAAGAGAGGGAAGAGCATCTTTGCCAGCAGGCTGGCTAACCTAGTGAGGAGGGCTTTAAACTAGGTTCACCGGGGAAAGGAGACCAAAGCCCTGAGGTAAGTGGGAAAGCGGGATACCAGGAGGAAGCACAGGCAGGAATGTCTGTGAGGGGAGGGCTCCTGCCTCATACTGGGAATGAGGGGCGATCAACAGGTTATTTCAAGTGCTTATATACAAATGCACAAAGCCTTGGAAACAAGCAGGGAGAACTGGAGGTCCTGGTGATGTCAAGGAACTATGACGTGATCGGAATAACAGAGACTTGGTGGGATAACTCACATGACTGGAGTACTGTCATGGATGGTTATAAACTGTTCAGGAAGGACAGGCAGGGCAGAAAAGGTGGGGGAGTAGCACTGTATGTAAGGGAGCAGTATGACTGCTCAGAGCTCCGGTACGAAACTGCAGAAAAACCTGAGTGTCTCTGGATTAAGTTTAGAAGTGTGTGCAACAAGAGTGATGTAGTGGTGGGAGTCTGCTATAGACCACCAGACCAGGGGGATGAGGTAGATGAGGCTTTCTTCCGGCAGCTCACGGAAGCTACTAGATCGCATGCCCTGATTCTCATGGGTGACTTTAATTTTCCTGATATCTGCTGGGAGAACAATACAGCAGTGCATAGACAATCCAGGAAGTTTTTGGAAAGCGTAGGGGACAATTTCCTGGCGCAAGTGCTAGAGGAGCCAACTAGGGGGGGCGCTTTTCTTGACCTGCTGCTCACAAACCGGGTAGAATTAGTGGGGGAAGCAAGAGTGGATGGGAATCTGGGAGGCAGTGACCATGAGTTGGTTGAGTTCAGGATCCTGACGCAGGGAAGAAAGGTAAGCAGCAGGATACGGACCCTGGACTTCAGAAAAGCAGACTTCGACTCCCTCAGGGAACAGATGGCCAGGATCCCCTGGGGGACTAACTTGAAGGGGAAAGGAGTCCAGGAGAGCTGGCTGTATTTCAAGGAATCCCTGTTGAGGTTACAGGGACAAACCATCCCGATGAGTCGAAAGAATAGTAAATATGGCAGGCGACCAGCTTGGCTTAATGGTGAAATCCTAGCGGATCTTAAACATAAAAAAGAAGCTTACAAGAAGTGGAAGGTTGGACATATGACCAGAGAAGAGTATAAAAATATTGCTCGGGCATGTAGAAATGATATCAGGAGGGCCAAATTGCACCTGGAGCTGCAGCTAGCCAGAGATGTCAAGAGTAACAAGAAGGGTTTCTTCAGGTATGTTGGCAACAAGAAGAAAGCCAAGGAAAGTGTGGGCCCCTTACTGAATGAGGGAGGCAACCTAGTGACAGAGGATGTGGAAAAAGCTAATGTACTCAATGCTTTTTTTGCCTCTGTTTTCACGAACAAGTTCAGCTCCCAGACTGCTGCGCTGGGCATCGCAAAATGGGGAAGAGATGGCCAGCCCTCTGTGGAGATAGAGGTGGTTAGGGACTATTTAGAAAAGCTGGATGTGCACAAGTCCATGGGGCCTGACGAGTTGCATCCGAGAGTGCTGAAGGAATTGGCGGCTGTGATTGCAGAGCCATTGGCCATTATCTTTGAAAACTCGTGGCGAACGGGGGAAGTCCCGGATGACTGGAAAAAGGCTAATGTAGTGCCAATCTTTAAAAAAGTGAAGAAGGAGGATCCTGGGAACTACAGGCCAGTCAGCCTCACCTCAGTCCCTGGAAAAATCATGGAGCAGGTCCTCAAAGAATCAATCCTGAAGCACTTGCATGAGAGGAAAGTGATCAGGAACAGCCAGCATGGATTCACCAAGGGAAGGTCATGCCTGACTAATCTAATCGCCTTTTATGATGAGATTACTGTTTCTGTGGATGAAGGGAAAGCAGTGGATGTATTGTTTCTTGACTTTAGCAAAGCTTTTGACACGGTCTCCCACAGTATTCTTGTCAGCAAGTTAAAGAAGTATGGGCTGGATGAATGCACTATAAGGTGGGTAGAAAGCTGGCTAGATTGTCGGGCTCAACGGGTAGTGACCAATGGCTCCATGTCTAGTTGGCAGCCGGTATCAAGTGGAGTGCCCCAAGGGTCGGTCCTGGGGCCGGTTTTGTTCAATATCTTCATAAATGATCTGCAGGATGGTGTGGATTGCACTCTCAGCAAATTTGCGGATGATACTAAACTGGGAGGAGTGGTAGATACGCTGGAGGGGAGGGATAGGATACAGAAGGACCTAGACAAATTGGAGGATTGGGCCAAAAGAAATCTGATGAGGTTCAATAAGGATAAGTGCAGGGTCCTGCACTTAGGACGGAAGAACCCAATGCACAGCTACAGACTAGGGACCGAATGGCTAGGTAGCAGTTCTGCGGAAAAGGACCTAGGGGTGACAGTGGACGAGAAGCTGGATATGAGTCAGCAGTGTGCCCTTGTTGCCAAGAAGGCCAATGGCATTTTGGGATGTATAAGTAGGGGCATAGCGAGCAGATCGAGGGACGTGATCGTTCCCCTCTATTCGACATTGGTGAGGCCTCATCTGGAGTACTGTGTCCAGTTTTGGGCCCCACACTTCAAGAAGGATGTGGATAAATTGGAGAGAGTCCAGCGAAGGGCAACAAAAATGATTAGGGGTCTGGAACACATGAGTTATGAGGAGAGGCTGAGGGAGCTGGGATTGTTTAGCCTGCAGAAGAGAAGAATGAGGAGGGATTTGATAGCTGCTTTCAACTACCTGAAAGGGGGTTCCAAAGAGGATGGCTCTAGACTGTTCTCAATGGTAGCAGATGACAGAACGAGGAGTAATGGTCTCAAGTTGCAGTGGGGGAGGTTTAGATTGGATATTAGGAAAAACTTTTTCACTAAGAGGGTGGTGAAACACTGGAATGCGTTACCTAGGGAGGTGGTAGAATCTCCTTCCTTAGAGGTTTTTAAGGTCAGGCTTGACAAAGCCCTGGCTGGGATGATTTAACTGGGAATTGGTCCTGCTTCGAGCAGGGGGTTGGACTAGATGACCTTCTGGGGTCCCTTCCAACCCTGATATTCTATGATTCTAAAGATTCAGTTCCCTAGGGATTTTCAACTGAATCATTATTTAGTTTATGAGTTAACTGAAACCAATTTAAAAATGGGACCTTTAATAAATGTCCTGTATCTGACATTTTTTTTTTACTCCATTTACTAACAAGTGTCTGGCTTCCTATATTTCAAACTTTTCATATTATTACAACTCATGGTCAGCTATCAAATGTACATTTGAATGAATTAGGCTGTGATAAAGAAAGTTATTAATGATTGTTTGTTCATATCTTTTCTATTATATTAACAACATTCTCCTATTCTAAATGTCTTCATAGTATAATGTGAAATCTTAATCACAGCCTGAGGAACATAAGCAAATATTTAGAACTGATGTGTGTTTATGGGGGAAGCATGAACTCATAATTGGGGTCTTGCAAGGGAGATTAATGTGCTGCCTGTAGTGTGATTTCTTATCAGCTAGAAGCAGAAGGAAGTTCCTTGTGATAACACAGAGTCTGTCACTATCAGTGTAAATGTGCTCTGCGGGCTTTGGTGTACAGTTAAGAAGCATCCTATAATTGGCATTTCCCTGCTTCTTAGGTTTTGCTTTGGGAGGGAGGGCGATCTCACACTTAACCAACCTCAATCCCTTTTAAATAAAGATAGTGTTTATGGAATAACATTATATATAACAAACCTCTCTAGAGTACATTTAAAACAGAATAAAGTATTACTCTATTGCAATAGTAGAAATAAGAAATTTGCCTTCCCTTCACCATCTTTACTGAGGCAAATTTATAATTTCTAATTCAATTTATTTTCCCTTACCCTGCTTCAACAATATGAACTTTAGGTTATTCCAATGCAAACAGAAATTGTAAACCTTAAATGTATTTTACACACATATAATATCAATGCTTCATGCAATTATGTAAAAAGAATCTAGACTTATTAAAACCAAAATCCAGGAAAAGCTAATATATTTTAATCATAGTGGTAGGATTGTGTCAGGTCACTTGTAGAGTTGCATGAAAATTGTCAGACACAGGTTTGCCTTTTCACAGTCAAACTTCCCCCCTCCCCAGTCAAACGTAGATGTTGCATCACTTTTTTGTTGGGAAAAAAAATTCCGTACAAATATTGCCAATTTCTACTCTGTTAAAATTATATGGAACATTACCAAGCTACATTCTGTCTTCTCATGAAAACCTTTCCAAGTACAAAACTGATATCTTGCTCAATTGATTTAGTACCCAATGTCTCTCCTTTCCCTAGCTTCATAAGAAATTTATTTGTTTTCTTACCTAAAAGTTCATTCTCTTCAATTGATCCAATGGAAAAATTAGCTGGACTGACTGAAGGACTGGAAGTAAAGCTTGCATATCCAATGGATGAGTTGATTTCAAAATAATCGTGGCTGTGATTTAGTCGGTGAAGTTCCAGAGAAGATACTATTGATGTTCTCTGTTTGGGCTGAAAAAGTAGAGTTCAAAGTGTAACTAACACCAGACATTAGATGATTTCCCCCATCTTCATTAGTTGACATTCACCCCACATAATTGGAGTTCATCTCTTTCTAAAAAATTTATTTAGCCAAAAAGAAGACAAGGTGTGGTGACTTAGATCTAACTTTTTCTCGAAAATCTGAACAGTAGTTTTGCATACTTGTCACTTAATCACAGAATCATTTTTGCTGAGGAAGATAACATGCTTCTACAGGTTTACCTATATTAATTGTAATCCTTTTTTAAAACACAGAAGTGCACTCCTTTCAGCAGCTAGATAGCTGGCTCTGAGCTTTTGCTCCACTCAACAATATATCTTGCAAAACATTTAGATCTATCTCACGGATGGTCTAGAAAGTAACAAACCAGTAATAATAGGTAATAAATTCCACTGAGCATGGTCAGGCAGCCCCCTGATGTTTATTCATACAGGCAAGGCTCTTAAATTTGACTGCAGGCAAGGCTGAGCTTAATTAATCAAAGACTCTCAAAGATCTAAAAGCTTATTTAGAACTAAAGGGACAATGTCATCTTAAAAGCCATATATTGGAAACACTCATTCCTTCACCTATTTGCATAATACTCTATATTATTAAAACTGAAAGTACAAAAATGGAGGTGGAGCTTTGGTTAGCCTCTCAACATGCCAGGGTAGCACAGCATATGTAGAGATCATCTGAAGAAAAGAATCTGCTCCCGGTGAGGGCCGGTAGCAGATGATTACCCTAGGAGCAATGGCTCTTCTTGAGGCCATATAGCTACTCAGACCTCTTACTCAGCACAAAATGCTAAAGTACAATTAGCCCAATGAAGTAATTTTCACTTTTGTTTATGGCCCATTTCATTTTGAGGTTATTAATGTTGAAATGTTTATATTACAAATACAGAAAACAATGTATTTTGCTAAAAAAGCAACTGTTTCCATTGGAATGTTAAAAAAAATAATTTTGAAACGTAATTTGGCTCAGGTTTTGTAAAAGATTTCTTGTTCAATTGCAAAATTTTGGGCATAATATAAATTGACTGTGTCCTGTTAAAACTGAAAAAGTTGTGTAGGTTAAGGATAGGCACGCAGCTGCAACTAGTTTGCAATCTATGGAGGGGAATTAACTTCTTTAATAATCCAAAAAATAATGTATGGCTTGCAAGGCTCCTTCCTAGGGCTAGTAATTGCTGTGAAGATTTTCATGAAGGCGGACAGACTCCCGCATCAAATAGCTTTAAATAAGAGGTACTGGTATGGGGTCTTAGCCAAACTACTGATCTGAACAAAAATGCAACAAAAGTGCACCATTTATTTTTGCTAAAATGCAATTCAGCAGTGACATAATTATGTTTAAAAGGAATATGTTGCAAGAAGGTTTCTTATTTGGGGGCCTTGCAGTAGGTCAGTTTCTTCTGTTGAGAGAAGCTGATGTCATGGAGTTATGTCTGGTATAACTGGTTTGTTCACACAAAATACAGGACTCTAGTTACTCTTAAACTGAGACAGGCCCAACCTCACTTAGGCAGCTCTGGAATCTCCAACTCAGTCACCCTGAGCAGCCACCTCCATCTTTGTTCTTCCAGGCCTCTAGTCATCCTCCTAGCTGCCATGGAACCTTCTCCTCCTGGCTGTCCTATATCAGTTGCCAGTCAGAACAGCAGCAGCAGATTCACCACACTGCCACCAGCTGGCCTATTACTGCTCATCTGATTTACCACGTTAGTCTAGAATGACATACACTACAGTGGCTTTTCTTTGAAAATTTCTGCGCAAACCTCATGCACAAATCTTTGAAAAAGGTATTCCATTCATTTCAAAGGGATGGATGCACGCACTTGAGTGTTTTGCACAAGTAAGTCTCCAGGACTTATATGATAAGAAGTGATCTCTTGTTGATCCTAGGATTTGTCCTCCTCCTAAATTCCCCCCACACTGATACTAAGGGGCCATAATCATTAATCCCAATTGGCAAAGGGGAGAGGGATATTACAGTAGGCCAGAAGGGTTCCCTTTTGGTCACATGTTACACAACTGTTGGAGCAGGGCTGCATGGCAGGGAACCACAGGTGATGCTTTCCTGGTTTTAGGGAACGCTTTATGCGGCTTTAAATGACCAATAATAAGTCTGATTACTTTCATAAGGCAGCCTAACCTGCAGATGGATAGTAGCTACAGCCTCAGTAGTCTGTATGTAGGTGCTTTCACCCTACTGTGGCAAAGGTGCCTGAGCACTTAGATCTAAGCGAGGAGTCTTTTAGTACAACTATGCAAAGGACTGATTATTGGAACTCCTTCAATATTCCTGTGCATGCAGAACATTGGGATTGCAAATTCACCTAACATACGAACAGATGGGTAAGCAGATAACCTTTCTACTCTGCTTTGAATATAGTCTACACGCACACAGAGCTCAAGTTTACCCTCTTCCTGGGCTTTGACATTATTATTTAAATCAACAAAACGAAAACTTAACAAGATTTGTTTCTAATCCTAGGGTTCTTCTACAGAAACTTCTCTAGCTCAGCCTTTAGTTCCCTTTTCCCTAGAGGGCAGGCAGTCTAATTCTGTTATATTCAGATTGGAGCTAACAAGAACCACCTGCCAGCATGCAGCAATTAGTATAGTTATGCATGGTTCTAGCACCTGAACATTAGTGGCACAATAGAGGATTCTTATCCCTGGTCCTAGAAAATGTCAAGCTATTACAATCTGCTAATAGTTCATTAATATATGCTAGTTGCGGCTAGAAGCACAAATCTACCTAGTACAAAATTAAGTCAGAGCAGAAGTACCGAGAATGAAAACTCACAGGGTAGCCTTATCTGCTGCAATTAAAAACTGCCAAAATTTCTCTTTATGAGAAAACTGATGGCCTATAAGCTCCTCTGCAGGAGCTTAGGGTCAAAATATTGGCGTCATGAGGCATGGTCTCAGGGGAAAGGCTGAATAACACAGTCCATAGGACTTCCCTGAATTAGTTCCTGTGTGAACTAGAATATATCTTTAAAAAAATATTTTTTTCCATTTATAAATTGCCAGTGGTGGAGAAACAATGAAAGTCTAGACACCCTTTTTCATATGTACCACATCACAACCTTGATAAGACATCAGTCCAAAATGAAGCAATGTCATTGCAAGTCAATTTTCTGTAGCTTTTTGATCCAAAGTATTTCACATGCTAAAAAATAGCAACACAGAACAATTACAAATTCAGATATCTAACTTGGTTCTCCCTTCTCAGTTTAGAGCCATCTATAGGTTTATGATCCCTTGGAAGAGGCAAGTATACTAGGCATAATGGTTTCTCCACTCATCTATTTAAATAGCAGTCTCATATTTCCTTACATTATAAAAAGATGTGCATTTTGTAAGCTGAAAAATAAAGAAAAGTGGTAGATTGCACCCCTTGCTATTCAAATACAAAGTAAATAATCATAAAATGAAATTTTTGCTCATGAAAAGTGCTGAATTACCAGAGAAGCTAGAGAATACTCCTGTTTACCCAAAGAACAGGTACAACATAGGCTGTGACGGTTTAGGCTTCACACCTGTGCCTCCCCATGAACCTCAATTTTGACCTGGAAGGCTCAACATGCCTGTTTCATTCTCGGCCTAATTACTGATATTAGCAGCAACAAGAGTGCCAGCTGTGTATTAATTGTACATCTGCTTATCAGGATCTGGACTGAGAGCATCAGTCATCAGATGGCAACAACTTTTAGTCACTACTGAACTGGGTTTGGTTCAAACTAGTAATCTAGAGTTGGAAAGACTTGATTGTCCTATTACCAGTCTCCCAAGATAACGAGCTCTTCAAACATCAAAATAAATGAACACATAGAAGAAACACTGTCATTTTAATTATCTACATTAATGTTTTCATGGGTATGGCTATTACAATTTCATATCTCAAATTATAAATATGACTAAAATTAAAGATAAAAAAGCAGCAAGTTTCAGCATTCATACTGATAATCTTGATTTTTTTGCCTAATATCTTAATTCAGAGCACCAGGCAGTAATTATACTGTATTTAGCAGCAAATATGTCCCAAGGAGCTACAACAGAAACCTCATAACGTCATGGGAATTTAAAAAAAATGAAAGAAGGATAAATAAATGTTTGCATTTCTTTAACCATAAATTATTCTCTACTATAAAGGCAATAAACTCAAACTAAATTTATTTAATTTTATTGCTAATCAAAAGATTCCTAGTGACTTCTGTTTCTACTAAAGAGATTCTGAACTAATACAATGTGACCTCCGGCATGCTGCTCATTCAGCTGGTCCACACTTCCTCAGGATGGCCTGACAGTGTGTTAGCATACTTCCTGAGACATCTGAAAATTATTGATACACACAACGATGGCACAGCTGCCATTGTCCCTTAGTGTATTGTTGTGTGCATGGAGTATCCACGGTGCTTTCTGTTCTTGTGCATTCACAGTGCCTCTTCTCTGTTATCCTAGCACCTCTTCCTGACTTCTCTGCTGGATGAGGTAACCAAATGTCAGCAATCAGCTGTGCAGTTCTTCCCTCCTCCCCTGCTTTATCTCAGACCACCACTTTGCTTGACACCAGTGGCTGGGAGTGAAGGAGGGTATGTATGATGCTTCTCTCCTCCTCCTTGGGCCCCAATTGTCATTTCTTAATTTCAGCCAGCGAGCAGCAATGAGTTCTGAGCAGCTCTACTGCAGCTCTCCCACTGTCAGGAACTCAGCTGCCTCCAGACTTAGTGCCTGGCAACCCAGTGAGCTCAGCTGGGCCCAAAAAATGCTCTCAAACTGACTGTGCTCCCCAGTTGGTCAGAAAAGCCAACAGATCATCATTTAAACCCTGTAGCAACAGCAGCACACTGGCTGCTCTATGTATTCCACGTTTATATCTGTACTCGGCCTGCTTCTTGGCTGGCCCTTGTTCTGATTCTTGCTAGTTCTGCTCCAGCCCTAGTCCCTGCCTATGTCTGAACTCCTGGCTCTGA